ATATATACATATAATTCAAGAAGAATTAATCGAGTAAATGAAGAGAAAAATTAGTGTGCGTGATTTCATATGTTATTACTGTAATTGGGATTGGGTTTTGAGGGTGGAAGAAATATTACCAATAATGGGACATGTGAAAAAAAACGCATGAATGAAAATTATTTTCGCTAATTACTTTTAATTGGGGATAATATCGCATGACTTTGAATTTTAGAAACTCGAGTAAACTTTACATATAGTGGTTGTAATTGTTTCCCATTTTGAGTTTCGTGAATGCGTTGGCAAATTATATACTTTGGTTAGTGGGGACCACAGGGGGCCAAGTGCAGGTGGCTACTAGATGTGAATTATGTGTACAGCTCGCCATTTTTATGAATTATTTGTACAACTCAGCATGTTGCTGGTTACGGAGGTGTGTATGCGAGATAGTAGTAGAGTTTTTATTTAAATATGTTAAAATTTATAAAAATATTTAACATAAAAAAAATTTAAAAATTAGTGAAACAATAGTTCAACCGTACAAATTTTAAGTATTTTTTTACTTTCCGGGTATTGTAATTATAATTATAATTACAAAATATATTAAAAATCTAGATAAAATATTGTACTAGTTCATGATAATTTTTTTTTCACCCTTTAATTTTTTTCTAATTTCACATTTATATGTCCAACTTAATGATCAATTTTATTAAAATTTGTTAAAGAGGAAAAAAAAATAAAGAACCAGAGTTTAAAACAAGAAAAAATTCTATAAACAATCTCAGATTCGATAAAAGTTTTTTGCTATTTAGTCCATTTGCTTTCTGTTTTCTTACCTATACAAATCCTTTAGTTTTTTTAATTTTAATTTTGATCAGAACGCTCATTTTTGTAATATTTTTTTATCATGGTATTTGAGATATGAGAGCGAAGGTCATCTAAAAATTAACAAAAATAGAGAAAATTGATAAATGGCCCTTTTTCAATGACAAGACTTATCGTGCTTAGTGTTGTCTTTTATTTTTTACTGTGCATCGCATGTAGTTTTAAGAGGAAAAAAAAGAAAACCTTCAATTTTTTTGGCCAGCACATCGCATGTTGTATTTTTTTTTTTATATATATAAAAAAAAAGTAGGGGCAAAGCTGGTCCAAGCACGTTGAGCCACCTGAACTGATACACGTCTTTTTTTTTTCTCTTTGAATTTTTTTTTAAAAAAACATCATTTAATATTTAATTTTTTAAAATTATGATTTATATTTTTTTTACAGGTTTACGTGATCTAAAATAATTATTCTAATATTTTATTAATAATTAATTTTATCAACATTTATTTTTTATTATTAAATCAAAAATAATTTCATAAAATATTTATTAAATTTATTAGAGTACAAGAATCGGATCACAAATATAATAAGCTTACTCGGGATGTCAAATAAATTTTCACATATTAAATTAGAGTTTGATAAATGTTTATTTTTGATATCTCATAATAAAATAAAAAAAGGAATTGTTAGGTGTAAAAGAATTCATGACTTCAATCAAATATTTTATAATGAATTTTAATTAAATAATTTGATATTTTATAATAAAGTAAAAAATATATTATGTTGATATATTTAAAAAAGTTAAATCAGGTTTTTGCTGGATATTATTTTTAAATATATTAAAATAATTAAATTATATTAAAATAATTTAAAAAAAGTTTGATTTGACGCTTTAGCCAGGCATTCAAAGTTGATTAGCATTTAATAACTTTAGCAGAAGGTTTATTTCCGATTAGGTATTGCTTTTTTCACATTATTTTTTCTTATCTGACCGGAACAGAGGGCAAACCTGTAACTTAATATACTCCTGCCTGTATTAAAAAGGAAGAAAAGAATACCTTCCTTCCTTGGTCAAAAATATCTCATCTATTCTCTCTTTAAAGAATCTTTATGGGATTTCTCTAATGAAAACTGGGTTTTTTTTATATTTTAATTTGCTGCATAGACAAGGAAGGTATTAAACGAGGCCTATTTTCCTTACACCTTTTTTTTGTGGTACCTGGTCCAAGAAAATGAATAGTTTTTTCGTTGTAATGAAATAAGAAGATCGTATCCCGTTACGGTGACCACCTGGGAGGAGAAATCCCGTTGGATATAATTGAAAAGCAACAGTGTAAACAGCGCAAGTCACTCTCGTAAGATTTCCAGTTAGATTTGGTGCGTTCTAGGTTGTCTCGTTGTAATTTGGTCGAATTCCAAGTGGAAATAACTTGCAATCCAAAGTTCTGGTCCTTGAGACTTGAGAGCGAGTAACAAGGTCCATCCGTAATGTGCTTATATTATATATTAAAAGAACGAAGACTTCTGCAGGAGGAGTGCCCAGTCTCTGGAGTCCACCTGTACAGAATAAACTTTTGCTATGGACGGCTCTTTTTTTTTTTTTTTTTCTCTCTCATTTTGATAGCTGTTGCTGTGGTATTTGATGTTGTTAAATTCGAGAAGCTGAGAATCTTGAGATATTTACGATGATATCAAAAAATATCTTTATCAGAGTTATGTGTCTTTGTAGATTATTTTATTTTTTAATTTTCTCACTCATAATAAAATTCACGTGAATGAAAATTTATACATTTGTTTAAAATATCGTGATTTTTAAATAACTATATTATTTTTCAAAATCTTTTTTCTCTCGTTAGTTTACCATTTTTTAAAAAAAACTTCTTAATTTCCTAAAAAATTCTCATAAACCCAACCTCTCTTACTCTAAGGAAAAAATATCCCCAAACAGGCACACACTCAAAAATATCTAGCTGACAACACACGAAGATATTAACAGCATGTGCTGACGTGACACCTTTCTGTTAACACTGACACATGCAAAAGCGTTTCCATGTGGAGCCTCTAATGGCCCCGCTCCCCTTCCCTCTCTGTTTGTGTTTTTTTTTTTTTTTCAACAAGCAAAATTAACGCGGCCTCTCTCGCTCTCGCTCTCGCTCTCTCTCTATAACGAAGTTAAAGGGAAACGATTTTCATATTTTGGTATTTTGGTGTCCGAGACCAAAAAATAAGGAGTTCAACAATAATACTTTAAAGGATAACGGATAAATGGAGGAGAATCTCAGAGGGAATGTTCCGTTACCGGATCAGAAGAAGAAGAACAGTGAGTTGACTCGGTCGAACTCAGACTCCTCTGGTTTAACCCTTGACGACGCGAATGCAAGACCGGTAATTTCACTCTCTTGTAATCTTCTTGTTTCCTTGGCAATGAATTTAGGGATCGTCTGAAAAGCTTGTGTTCTTATTCTTGATTTGCAGAGTTTTTGCAAGATGTGTGAATTTTTTCCTTTTCTTTTAGTTGTTTTCGAGTGTTTATTTCTAATATTTGCAATTGTTGCATTATTAAAAACAAGTCAAAATTTACGCCAGAAAAGAGGAAACAAAAAATAAACTTTCATTGAGGTAAAGTTTTGGAAAATCTGTTAGCGAATTAATTAATTTCTTTAGCTCATTTAATTATTATTATTATTATTAAGTAGCTGATAAATTCTTGTGTTTTATTACCTGGTCAATTTTTAGTAAAAAAAAAATTACTTTTTTGTAGCAGGGTACATCTGCAGTGTGGACAGATGAGAAGCATGGGTTGTATCTTGCCTCATTAGAAGCGTCATTTGTTAATAATCAATTGCACCATTCCATTCGTTTGCGTGGTTGGTTGGGCGAGATGGGAGGGAGGCCATGTTCATCGCCACACCAGGTTAGGGGATTTTTAATCCTGGTATTTCAAATCTCTAACTCCCCCGTACATTAGTTATATTTTGTCGTTCTATGTGCTTCTTGGTTATGTTTCAGTTCATGGTTCTTCGAGATGGTAGTTGGCAGAAGAAAAGGAATGAGCCATTGTTGGAAAGTACAGCCGATTCTCATTTTGTCAAGGGCAATACTCCGGCGATGCGTCATTTGGCGTCTGCAGGAAACCAGTGTAATGCTGCACACCATGATCTTCAAGGGCACAGTGTATATTGTGCTGGGGGGGTTCATGCAAGAGAGAATGCAACTGTCTTTGGTGGATTGGCAAGAAGTTCAGAACAACACCCTGTGTGCTGCTTATGTTCTCAGAATTATATTGGCAGCACAAGAGGTATCAATTAGTTTACAGTCGCTTCTGACACCAGTAAAAAAAATGCCTACTCATACTGCAAATTGATTAACTGCCTTGTTGCATCATGTTGTGAGAGGACTTGCATTATCATCCTCTCACTTTCTCTGTTATCTTAACACACTCTCAATCGAATATGCTTTTCATGGACACTCGCCCTTGCCCGTGGGAACATATGCTCAACTTTTTGTAATACAGACCAGGGAAAAGAACTGAAAATGTTGTTGTGTTTATTAGTCAAGGCTTCATGCATTCTCTACTCACGCAATTCACAAATGCAATTGGTTTTTCTGGTTTCACATATTTTACACTGATTTTTGGCTAGAACTCAGATTGGTTTTTCTGAGGGCTTGTTAGCCCCCCCCAACTCTATTTTGGGTCATGCAGAGTTGGAAGCAAAAATATTGGCAGATGCAGTAGTTTCTCACACCTTTTCCATGCGCTTGCATTGTCTGTCTACATGTAATGCTTTATTTGTATGTGGTTTAAATGCTGTGCACTTCAATAATTTGTATGCAAAGCAATGCCACTGACAGTTATGGAAACAGAGTCACTCTCTCAAGTTGCAAAAACGTATAGATTATGTTGTGGAACAAAGTAGCTTTTCTACTTGCAGAGAAGTTTTGTTTTTGCTGAATTGTTTGGTTCTTCAGAAGTCTCAGATCAGAACTTTGTTGAAGAAGATGAAGGAGAGATGTTGAGCTGTGTCCGCATGGTGAAAAGACTGAGGACATCTGGAGCCGAGGCTTCAAGCAATGATCAAGTAATGTGATTAATGTGGTATCTGTATGTTAAGTCTTGATGTACAAATATGTTAAAAGTATAATGCAATGGTGTTGAGATTTTGAGTATGGAGTCTCATTTTTGTCAAATCTATTAGGCTGTGCCATTCACAAGGTCTGATACGAGAGATGTTTCAACTGCCAGTCAATCTTCCTCTGAAAGAGAGGCACAGGTGCATCAAGAATTGTTGTCACAAAACCCCAATAGCTTTGTCCGCCAAAACTGTCTGCATTATTTCTTAAGAGGGAGCTAAGCTCTACATGTATTTGAAGTTTTAAAAGGTTACTTTTGATTCCAATACCTGAGAACACAGGAGAGAATGTAAGTTATTACCCATTTGATGAGTCATCTTGAGGAAACTGCAGATAGCAAGATTTTGATGGGAAACCCTCTTCTCGCTGAAAACGATACCGTCTGAAGATTTTTGCCAGTAGAATTCTGTTGGGATGATGATATTCATATCTGCTGTGCGATGTGCTTGAATGGGCAGTTTGAAGTTGACTTTACCAAGCTATTTTAAACTATATGTTGCACTTTTATTTATTTATTTTCCCAGTTTTGTACACTGAATAAATCCTGAATCTTTTTCTATAGAAAATTCTTGAATAGAGATGCACACGATGGAGAAGATGTTATACATGGCAAATATTTTTTATATTTGGAGCAGTGGCGTTAGCTGTGGGAGTGTTTCTAGAAGTAAAATGGCTGTGGATGGTCAGGTGATTTATAGACAATTATGTTACTTTTGTTGAATCTGTTCAGTATCATAATCGTAGTTTTAGTTGTGAACTCAGAAAACCCCCATGTAGTTTTGATCCAATGTGCGTGAGAAATTTCAAAGTTATATCTAGTCAATTTAAGGGGAAACTTTAATTTAGTCCCAAACCTATTTATCCATTCCCACTTGAATCCCAAACCGATTTCATTCCCACTTGAATCCCAAACCTATAAAATTATATCATAAATCTGTTTACAGATTTCTTCTTGTAATGTACAATATGAACAGGGTTAAGAGCAACAGATTTATATTTTTAATGGAAAATCTGTAAATTTCAATGCTTAGATTATTAATGTCACAATCCATGATGCCACAAGCCCTTCTTCAAAAGGCCAGACTGCTTCGGATCTCCATTCTCCGCGTGCTCACGCGTCTTACCTATATGTACATTACAAGAAGGAGAAGTGCGCTTGTTAAAATTGAACGAGCAAAGAAAAACCCAAGAGGGGCACTACATTCTCCTCGGAACTGGACAAACTATGGCTATCTACCGACCGAAATCTTCAGGTTCTTCTTTCCCTGTCTCCGAAAGTATAGTACAATGTTTCTGGTAGGGCTTCATTTTTTTCCCTTTTTAAATGATGTTAGAGTTCATTTTACTTTTCCGGTTAAACCTAGATGGGTTCTCCACATCTATCAAAATCACCCATAACATCCTTACATTAAAAATCTAACCTAACATAGTAACATCAATCTTTGTTAGATTGCTTTGTTAACCAAATCATTTAATCCATTACCGATGGAGAATGCCCATCGAACCTAATAATGGATTTGTAGTTGAAATGGGTCTTTAGAATCACCTCAACAACTTGGAGTATTTTTTTTTATATATATATATATATATTTTAAATAGCACCGGTAAAAAAAGTGATTTAGTAAACTAGCAATAATTCAAGAGATATTTGAAAAAATAGTACTGCATTGTTAGAAACAATGAAATTTTATATATTTTTTAGGCTATGTTGTTCCAATAGAACAACGACAAAAATCAAAGAAAATTAATTGATTATGTAATTAAAATATCTGGAAAGATTATATTGTAACGCAACTAATGTATATATTTTTTAAAAAAGAATTATGCTATTGCTAACAAATGCAATTGTATAAATCTAAGCTATTTTTTGAAATATTTATTATGTTGCTCTAGATTCCCAAAACATTTTTCTGGCCAGCGCTGTTAAAACACAAAACACTACAGAAATTGACTGGAAGTGAGATTACACGTGGGACTCGTATCCTCAAACAATCCCACGTCCCAACCTCTGATTGGTTGCTGACACCAATAACTCGGTCACTACACTCCACATAGTTTTTCGCTATATTATGCTTGTGTGTGCAGAGGTACACCCTAACTCCTAGTAATTTGTTCATTCACAAAGCAATCCTTCTAATCAAAATTTACCCCTTTGGGCCCCCCCCCCCCCGGTCCACACACGCTATCAACTGCTAATAAATAAAATATCCAAAGATTTCAACTTTCTCCGGTGACTTTGAACAAGGAGAAGGGGACCAAAATACCCTAATAGCCCACAAAGTCTTGTTACCTGAAAATTTCATCCTCCTTTCAAGCCAAAGAAACGCATGAAACAAAAACCTTAAAAAACCAAAGCCTCATTTAATGATGTTTCTCTGTTCTTTTTTATTTTGGGGTGAGACACACAAATAACAGCTTCACCACCTAAAATCATCAAACAAAGAAAGAAAAAAAGAACTTCCCTTTTTAATACTTGTTCTTCGTTTCTACATTTGTTATAAAAAGGGATTTTTGCTTGATGGGTGTTTTGACAAATCTAAGAGGATCAAGAGCTGCAACAGCATCACAAGAAGGGTTGCCTGTATCAGATGGGTCACCATCAAATTCCACTCAAGTTTCAATCTTTAAAATGAAGTGGTCAAATTTTTTGCCAATTTTTGTTGCTCTTGTGGTGATAGCAGAGATCGCCTTTCTGGGTCGTCTTGATATGGCTAAAAATGCCGATTTAGTTGATTCCTGGGCTGATAGTTTTTTCTACAGGTCAACTATATCTGCTGATATGGTGGAAAGTGGTGATTTTGGATCGGAAACAGTGAATATGGATAAAACTAAGAGAACTTCGGAGTCAGATAGCTGTGTGGAGTGGTTAGAAAAAGAGGATGCTGTGGTTTATTCAAGAGATTTTGATAAAGATCCCGTTCTGGTCGCTGGAGCGGAAAAGGTTTGTTGGATTTGAACTTTCCTTTTTCAAGATTCATGGGATATGATTTTTTTTTATTATTGTTGTTCTTTTTTGCTACTTGGTGAATTTTGTGATTATACAATTTTTTATGAATTTTGAGTGTGATATAGTTAAGAATTTACTAATTATGTTCAGGGGGCTAGTAATGGCATATGTATAGAGCAATCAAGGTTAGGACTTTGGACCATTTCCCGATGATTCCATGTAGGATTGGTTTTTAGAGGAGAACCCACGAGTAAATAGAGTTCTTATGTTCAAGTGGTTTGTTTAAGACATGGGGAATAGAAGAAGATGATTCGTGTGGTTGACTTTAATTAGCTGTTTTGAATTATGGTTTTGATTTAGTTTAGCTGAGTTAATTGATTTAGTTAATTTGTTTTTTGTGGTCATTATGTGGTACAGTGGTTTTGTAACTTGGATCTATGCATTTTTATTTAGGAGTGGAACACATGTGGGGTGGAATGTCAGTTTGGATTTAACCCCGGTAAAAAGCCAGATGCTGGATTTGGCGTACCTCAACAAAGTGGAACAGCTAGTGTGTTAAGGTCGATGGAATCAGCTTCCTACTATGCAGAGAACAATATTGCTCACGCACGACGGTGGGTAAGCACTATCCAAATTGACTTGATTGATTTTTGAGAAAACATTTTGCCTTGAGCTATAAGAAACTCTAGTGAGTATAAATTATCATGGCTGTGTTTGTAGTTCCTAAATGGCCTCTTTTAGTTCCTAAATTATGGCTTCTTCTTGTTGTTTGGATTTGAATAGCTCAAGTTTATCATTCAAATTTAGATGTGAAGCTCTCCAATTATGATTTGCTATAAACTCGGTCACTTGAAGCACAAGATATAGAGATGTTTGAATACCAAATGTTGAGTCAATTATTTTTAAACAACTCTTCTCTTAAATACAGAGATTAATTTCAAAATTTTGATCCATTAGGGACCAAAATGGTTTTCAGAATGCAATGAATGTTCAGAACTTGAGCTTGCTTTTCCTTTTCGTAGAGTTTCCTACTTCTCTTGATGAAATATAGTAGGATTAGAGGGTACATAAAAAATATCCAGAGATGTTTTTGGTGATGCTCAAATAGTTGGTTATGCAAGAGATTCACTTTTTATGCATCATTGGACATTGGTCCTACTTTGGCACCTGATGTTGAGATTCATGGTGTGGTGCATGTTAGTATTCTAGAAATGAATTGATAATATGTGAACGCTCTTTCTACAATAGAGCATGCTATCTGCAATTTTTATGCTGAAGTTTAAAACAACTGCCTGCCATTCTTCTCAAGTGCATTTCTTTCGATATTCAATTACTCAGATCTATAATTTCTTTTTCAGATGATTAAACTGATGCTTTGGTTTTCTTATGAATTAGAAGAGGATATGATGTTGTAATGACAACGAGTCTCTCCTCAGATGTGCCAGTTGGATATTTTTCCTGGGCTGAGTATGATATCATGGCACCAGTGCAGCCAAAGACTGAGAAAGCACTAGCAGCTGCTTTCATTTCCAATTGTGGTGCTCGCAACTTCCGCTTGCAAGCACTTGATGCACTTGAAAGGTCGAACATCAACATAGATTCCTATGGTAACTGCCATCGGAACCATGATGGAAGAGGTGAGCATGCCAAAATCCTTTCAATATATGGTATTTTCCACAGGTTTTATGTTTTCAATTGAACTATTGAGATCACTGTCACATTCCCCTTGAGATGCCATTATGTTTCTATCACAACTTTTGCTTGGAAATAGTGGGATTTCCCAGTTTTTGCTCTTGAACTAGATTTTTGGCCTGTGTATTTGGCCATTGGAACTACAATTTTGTTCAGATCAGATACACAACTTCTTTGTTTGTTGGTAATTTTATATATTCATTTCATGATGCAATTCACTTTCATCTTTGGTAAGTCATGTATGATTCTTGTTTTAGATGTTTTAAATTTTCACGTGCCTCTTTCAACTCAAATTAAGTCTGTTAAGTGATGGCTGCCTTGTGATATGATATATGATCAGGTATATTCACTTGCAAAGCATTAGCATTTATTATTGTTGTAATATATGTTATGCAGTGGATAAAGTAGAGACTCTGAAGCGTTACAAATTTAGCTTGGCTTTTGAGAATTCCAATGAGGAGGATTATGTCACAGAAAAATTCTTCCAATCTCTTGTTGCTGGTATGTGAACTTGCTCGCTCTCAATGAGTGTGGGTGTTACAACTGTTGTTGCCAAATACTATCATGTGTCTTTGCTTTTGAGTTTGCAAATGCTTTAGAAATTTTTTATTAGGATTTGTATAGTGATAATGGATATACTGAAACCAACTTTTTTAGGAACCATACCTGTGGTAGTTGGTGCTCCAAATATTCAAGATTTTGCTCCTGCACCTAACTCAATTTTACATATCAAGGAGCTAGAAGATGTTGATTCAATTGCGAAGACTATGAAATACCTTGGAGAAAATCCTGATGCCTACAATCAATCATTAAGGTACAACTTAATCTTATCCAGTGGAATAATGATTTGTTAATTTTCAGTTGATATTGGGTGACTGTACTGTTTTCTAGAGATTTTTCTTGTTATTTCCCCATAGTTCCTCATTGAGAGCTGTCCATCAATTAGGTGGAAATACGAGGGCCCATCTGATTCTTTCAAGGCCCTGGTAGATATGGCAGCAGTACACTCATCATGCCGTCTTTGCATTCACCTCGCTACCATGATTCGGAAGAAAGAGGAAAATAGCCCAGGGTTTAAGAGGCGTCCCTGCAGATGCACCAAAGACTTAGAGACCGTGTATCATTTATATGTAAGAGAGAGAGGAAGATTTGAGATGGAGTCCATCTTCTTGAGGTAAGGCCACCAAACTGATGGGTATTGGTTTTTATTGTGTATCAGTGCATCTATCCATGAACTTGTGTATGCAAGTTAAACAAAGGCACACAAATGCACATCACTAGTTGAGTCACCATTGCATCTGTCTTGTTGTATGAAATTGGGAATTGAAACCCATTGAGAAGTGAAAGTGTGATTCATGTTTGATTTATTTTGTGTCCCCCCCCCCCCGCTTCCCCTCTTTGGCCTCTTGTTTGGTTTAGCATGTTTGTGCAACATGGTCACTGATTTAATGTGGATGCAGAGGCCAGATATTCAAAATTTTCTTCTCTTTCTGTTTAATATTTTAGAAAAATTAACAAGTCTGCATTTTATAAAATATTGACAAAACCATGTTATGCAGGTCTGGCAATCTAACTGTAAATGCTCTAGAGGCTGCTGTGCTCAAGAAGTTTAAGTCGTTGAAGCATGTGCCCATCTGGAAGCAGGAAAGACCTGAAAGCATAAGGGGAGGAGACGATTTTAAAGTTTACAGAGTGTACCCTGTAGGCATGACACAGAGGCAAGCTCTGTACTCTTACAAATTCAACACTGATGATGATTTCAAGAATCACTTGGAAGTCAACCCATGTGCAAAGTTTGAGGTGATATTTGTCTAGGACGATTTCTGAATTCTGACGACCACGATTGCTAATTTTGAGCTTCTTGTTAAAATGTGTGCAAGGAAGTCAAGTTGACTTGTTTGGAGGGTTGCTTCCATCCTTTTCCGTTGGCCTCCTTGTATCTGATGTTTTGCATAAGCAATGAAGTGCTATAGCTTGCTGGAAAGTTGGGTTATTTGGGGTAAACCCTTCACTGACCTTGGTGATGCATGGTGAATCATTTAAGATATTCTTCTGATTTGACATAGCCTTAACTCGACCTTGTCGAAGTTGTCTTTGGTGAGGCATAGCAATCTCAACTCCCAGAAATCTATTTGTAAACGCTGTTTTCGATAGTGTTCTTAGCAATGCACTGTTGTGAGAATTTCTCGTCAGATTTTAGATTGCTGATATATCAAGAACATCCCCTTATACTTTTTCAAGATTCTCCTTCTAATTGACAGTATCATCTCATTCTACCTCCACGAACCATCATTTTCAGCGTCGTGGCTAGTAATAGGTTCCAGGGAACAAGTCCAAGATTTTTTAAAAAAAAAAAAACACAAAGTGTTGCTCTAATGTGTGAGGATGAAGATGACTTGAGTATTGTCTGAAACTGCGAGCGTGGTATTTTTTAAAATATTTTAATGAAAAAAACGAGCACATTTTAATTAATGTTACGAATCTGGCTGATGTCGAAAAGATTATTCTTGGGAATCCACCTGAAAAGCCTAGGTCTAGAGAAGTTCCCGTGATGATTTGGTACAAGACTTTTTCGGGGATTTAAGAGAATATTATTGGATATAGGAATTAGAATTTGACTGGGATCAGATTATTTTTTTATAGCCTTATAAAAATATATATAAAAATGCTAGGAATCAAAAGTTTAATATATAATGGATAAATAATTTTTAAAATATTAAGGTGATAATATATTTAATAATTTTTTTTTAAAAAAGAAAAATGTTAACTTATTGGATTAATTAAGGCCAATAATTTTTTACCCTTGAGATTCTCATTTTGAAGCATGAGCACGTGACAACGCCTCCCATGAAATTCAAATTGAAATTGAAACATGTAATTTAAATTAAAATAAATTAAAAATATTAATTTAAATTAAAAATATTAAAAACCTAAAATGGTAAAAACATTTGATTAAAAAAATCCAAACAAGGTACCCAAGCATTTTAGGTGGCCCCTACTACAACATGACTTGAATCAATTTTTTTTAAATAAAAAAATAAGACTTAGATAATTGACTTGACTAGATTTATTAAGTTAGGTTGATTTAATAATATAATTAGAAAAATAATAGTGAATAATAAAAAAAAGGATTCAAGATAGTTTATTTAACTTTCAAAATTAGGAAAAAATCATATACTAATAGTGAATAAAAAAAAAAGATTCAAGATAGTCTGTAACTTTCAAAATTAGGAAAAAATCATATAGAAAAAAAAAGAACAACATTCAAATAAATTACATGTTGAAAGATAAGTCCAAAAGAACATGATTTTATATTATGTTGCGTTGTGAGGTATATATTTTTTTAACCTTAAACATATGTTAAAATAAATAGAGATGAAGAGATATTCAATGATATATTTTTAAAAATAAATAATGAGCAATTAATTTAATTTTAAAAAATCTAAATCCAAAAAATTATATAAAAAGATTCAAGATAACCCAAGTAATTTTAAAAAGTAATGAGAAATCCTATATAAAGGAAAAAAAATAAAACTCAATATCCTATTAAATAAAATGTGAAGTGATGAAATTAAAAAAAA